TCTCTCTCTCTCTCTCTCTCTCTCATTGTCCGTCTGTCTGTCTGTCTCTCTTCTCTTTTCTTCATCTCTGTTTTTTGTTTCATTTTCTCTTATCTTCACTTCTTTTCTCGCTTCTCTTTTTATCGTTTGCGTCATTCGATTGGGGGAGCACGTGCCCTCTCCTCGTATAGTTACACAGCGTTTGCTATGCCTACCGGTTGTTGCCAACATGGGGTGATAATTAAGGGCCAAGCTCTTTAAAGACTTTATAAAGAAAAAAATGGGGGTAGTTTTCCGGGGGATGATTGTCCGGGGGTAATTTTCCTGATACGCTTACAAGTTTTTTTAAAAATACAAATTTAAGTTAAAGTAGGTTTAGCATTTTTAAGCTTTATGTGCCGATCAAATTTGTTGATATTTGCGATTTTATGTTTTCTCACGTTTCTCAGGCTATTCACAAAATGATATAAATTCAAAAATTATTGGTTGAATTACGGAGTGACATCGTATGGTGATTATAACAGAAACGGAATGGTAAATTTCTTTCCGAGCATATAAACATCTTTCGAAATAAAAATAGGGAAACGATCAAGACGATAGTGCCTGATGCGCCCGTCACACCAACAAGACCGACAACAAACCGACAGCAGACCACCAAGCATTACTCTGAATTGCCAAGAATCGGCCGGCTTGGAATAGGATTTGGCAGTGTGACTGAGGGTGTCAATATCAATAATTAATACGCTTCAATATTATTTATAATCAGTCATTATAATTATACCTGCATTTTCAAAACGCTCGATGAGAATGGGGTAATAATTTCCAAAGCTCTTTGGAAGCGCGTAGAGACGTTAAGAACCGAATATTTTAAGTGAAATATACAGTTTGTCAAATCAAATCTTCTGTGTTTTATCCTATACTATGTGACTTGAAGTAATCCGCCAAAGACAAGATGAAAATTGACATTTTGTCTTTGTCGTATAGACAGGAAATTCGAGGCCAAGTTCGAGCACTATGTATGTGATTTATTTAAACTGAAAAGAAGTGACAACCGCTCAAAACGTTTGATTAAGTCATGAAAAAGTTGACCTTTTACAGAATGAGAAAAAAGGGTTTTTTATCAAGAAACTGGGGGATATGGAAACGAAAAATCAAGAACGGCGACAAAGAAAACTTTAGAAAAGTGAACAAAATGGGAAGAGAAATAAAACGGTTCGGGAAATTGCAATATGGAGCAAGGCAAAGGGACTAAGGGGGAAATCTATACATGCATGGAATCTGTTTTTAGGAGAGTCATAATGGGATCACTTTGCTTCGTTTTTTGAGAGGAATCCACGCAAAAAATAGTGGAATCAATTCACCTACTGCTTTTATTTAGAGTGAAGTCCGCTACAATTTGGAGTGGATTCAGTTTCAACGGAAGTGATCCTTGTTTCCAAAACGGAAGATTTTTATCGCTCTGCATAAATGTCACATAAATAATCTCCCTGTGCCACACGGTTGTCATGGAGATAAGCAATACCGGAAATGGATAATTTTGTAAACCCATTGTGTTGCACAAAATAATCCTGAAGCTTCGTTCATTGGTGCTAGTATTGTTTCGTGCAAAATTGCACTTTTAGAATACGAGCGATAGTGCAAACAGGCGAAGAAGGTAACCAAAGTATATAACAAAAAACAATTCACCTGATTGGAATATTTTGTTGGGAAAAATAACCTAAACAGGGACATAAAAACCGAGCAGGAGAGGAACTGGACAAGTTATTCTGTTAATTGTTTTGCAATAATGTTCATTTTGTAACTTTATATTATTTCATATCCAATAAAAAGACAATAGTAGGAACTATATACTACAGTAGTAGTATGAAAGAAGTTAAGAACATAACATAATATAATCTAAGCAGGCAGTAAGTAATTCAAGCGTACTTAAAGAGAAATATTAAATTATAGTTTGATTGAAATTTTCTGTATCATTCTTTTTTTGTTTATTTAAGTTTGCAACTTTTTTTCTTCATAATGCTGATTTTTGGCAAGATATAATTCATTTTTAACTTTATCTTATTATCATTCATCAACATAGCTAGCGTAATTCTAAAAATTGAAGCAAAATAAATTTACGACAAATTTTCCCGGAGTGCACCTTTAAGAAGAAACTTTTGGTAATGGCAGGCGCTCGTCTTTGGTCGGCTCAACGCCTTAAAAGTTTGTATCCGACCCGAGTGGCTTGCTAATTATAGTGAACTTGCGCTAGCTGTCCCTGGCTTTGAAAGCCCGTGTCGTATGCCGAAAAAAAATTCTCACTCAAGTCCACATAAACTATATACATTGAGAGCTGCAGTTAACTAAGAAGGGGGAACCATGAACCGTCGAGATCAGAGATTTTACATTGCCTTTTGTCGGCCTGCTCCAAGATATGGCCAAAGAGGACTGCCGACTCTTCGTAAGTTGACCTCTTACTTTAATTAAAGAGATATCATGCTATACATTTGTGTTATTCAAATCCTTTCTCGATATATTAAATTTTCTTTTGCCCGACGATGAATGGAGTGCAATATTTGTGTATGGCTGATAATGATGTGCGTGCACACTTGCAGCTTTATATAGGTCGAGTGTTTTGGTGACGTATTATAATTATACTCTTTCCAGGAGGTATATGAAATTTACTAGGGGTGCAACTAGCAAAATACTAAATAGATTCCTCCATCCTCTTTGCTCTGGAAACTGCATTGTATTATTCATTTTCTGCTTTTGTTCCTTTTTTCTTCATCGGTTTTCCTTCCCTCTTCCTCTTTCTTACTTTTAATTTGTTTGAAAAGCTCTTCTCATTTCATATTAAGTTCTTCCTTTCTTTCCATTTTCACCTCTCACCCCTTCTTCACCTCTCCGGCGATCCTTTCCTTTTATTATTTCTCTTTTTTCTCTCGAATGTGAATGCATCCAGAGTAATTTTGGGTTTATATTATTTTCTCTGGTAGTTAATGACAAGTAGAGTTTACGTGCGTAGTGCAAAGTCAATTGATCCTTAAAGGTAAAGACCAGTTATGGTCATGCGATTGCATTGTGAAAGAAACGTTGTGGAATCGATCAGAAAAGGTTGATCATCTAGCATCTAGCATCTGCAAGGTTCTGGAATCATCAAAATGATAAGAAATTTGGCCCATTCTTCGTAAAGTTACAAGCACTATACACAGAAAGATGTATATGGGACTACCCTATATCTCTCACAGACCATGAGAGAAACAAATTTACCAAATATATGAATTAGTAGGCGGTTTCCCGGCAATTTTTTTTATCATCATGTATTAGTCAAAACATATTCTTTCACATGATTGGTAATGAGAGCTTCCATTTCATTTTTTGAAATTGGGGCGTTTCCAATACTGGTCTTTACCTTTAATATTGTTAAAGTTAGAATTGGTGAAAAATATATCACTCCCTGTGAAGCATTCCAGCCATGCGCCATTTGACTAGTGGACCTAGGTCCATGATTTGACAGACGCTCATAATGGTGAGCTATAGCTTCAATGCGTTACCGAGTATAGCCTAACCCATTTAGCACCTGGGTAGAGAGTGGCCGCCGTGGATTAATGTCTTAGCTCATAGGACGTTATTAGTACCGGGCATGAGCCCCCCCCCCCCCAGCCCTTAGATCGAGAGTCAAAATATGAATGAACAACTAGACTGAGACAAATTTCCACTGCTGTTCATAAAGGGGGCGCTAGTGTGAGCGTAGGAAGGGAGGGGGGGGGGGGGGTACCCTAGAGTATAATGCGAATTACTGTAACTTATCGAGACCATTGATTGGCGTGTAGATGTGTCTTACGATTCATTCCCTACCCCCTTCTCCCTACCCTTTTCGCCATTCGACTAGAAGGAAGAGGGGGGGGGGGGCACGGCCCCTTTGTAGGTCTTTACCTCTGTTGTAAACTATAATGTCAAGTGTCATGTTACTATACTGTTGCCTATATAATAAAGGTGGAATACATTTTCTTGATCAATCTAAAGAGTCTCATATAATAATATATTGATCTATAAAAGATTTTGCGAAAATATACTCTCTAAAAATATACTCTCTAAAAAAATCCTCTGGAGTGTGAAAATGTAGTGAAAATAGAGTGAACATTCACTCTTTTCTTCTTAGAGAGCACTCTAAAATCAATTGATTTTCACTCCTAAACAAGTGATCACGGACGTCACTCCCAAGAAAGTGAAAATAGAGTGAAAATTCACTCTTTTTTTTTCTAAGAGAGTAGGCCTACATAAACTAAACTATATCTATTATGAATACATCCTATATTGGCATAATCATTTCATCAAAAGAGGTAGGAAAATATTTATGGGCAGCAGTAGAGAGAGTTGGAAAGAATCTGCGTCTGAGCTGTAGTGGCGTAGCCAAAGGCCCGGGGGGGGGGGCTGGACCTGGTGCTTGAAAATGTTGATGCCCTCAAGGTGCCTCCAATAAAAGATGGATTAAGTACAACAAAATAATTTAATATTTGATATACATACTATGATCAGTAACACTGTATCTCGAAGGTCTGAACTAATATAGTATCAGGGATTCAGAATGTGTTTTTGTTTCTTCTTGGTGTACATGGTGGCCATGACCCCTCGCATAATATCCCTTATAATCTAGACGATTCGACGATCCACCTTAATTTTTTACCTAACTGCTGATGCACAGGATATTTTCATTATTTACTTTTAGAGTACATTCAGCAATTTCAACTTTTGATATATCACCGTCCCACTGTACCGTGCCGATTTGCCGAAGAAAATAAAAAATAGACAGTAATATATACAAACATATACCATTTTGTACGATATTTTTCTACTTTTTAAACATCACTTTAACAGTTTATTTGAACAAAGAATTTCATGCTTGACGTCCCCCCTGTCGATGTGAGCGTATGAAATCGAAAATATGGCAGTAAAGGTATAGATTATTTCTTATTTGACAGAACTTCAATTCGATATGAATATGCTGCTGTCTATTACCGTATGTAAATGAGTACCAAAATATTTGTGCGCATGCGTCACAATTTCCAAGATGTCTTCTTCCTTGGACCTACGACAAAAACTGAATCAACTACAAATTAGCATTCAAGATGAAAACAGAGCGAGGAAAGAGAGGCCTTCTATTGATTTTAATTTAGAATCACCTAAAATGCCTCGGCAGAGGCCAGGTAAGAACAAATCTTCCACCTTGGTTGTCTCTCAATGATTTTTAGAGCGCTTATGCAAGCGAATGAGAAGATGGAAGACATCAACATTCATTTTATACACTGTCACTGCACTCTGCAGTGTCATAAGGAATAATGCACACAGCGGAGCACTGCGCTGTGCCAGTGCAGTGGGCATGGGGGTATCATTGGTAGAGTCTGGGTGAAAAATCATTGTCTCGCTTTCGGCGACAGTACTATTAGTGATAATGGTGGCATATTCACCCATTTTCTATCCCAGAGATTAATATGAAATTGACCATAATCCATGTAATGATTGAAGTCTGGTGGTGATTAAATGACAAAACAAATCGTAATTCGTAGACTGACGTTGACAAGTTTGTGCATGTTCAGAAGCCAGGCGCTGGTAGTGGTACGAGAATGAGGATGGTCAGCATAAACGAGGTACACGCTCTGCAGGTTTTTGGGTTTCCGATCCTTGCGTTATCAATGCTAAAAACTGGATTCCGCGTAATAAAATACCCCAAGTTCATCGTCTATTTTTATGGGTTGTCCATCTTCACAAGGATTTATCACTCATAACTTGAAAGTCTCTGTACTAAGTCGTTGTGAAACGCATCAATTAAATCATCAAGGAATCTGTTTTTCATATCGCCAACGCGCGGATCATATATCAGAATCGTCAGCGGTCAGTAGGGGCGCTGGTCCGAGAATGAGGATCGTCCTCATAAACGAGGATATCCGCATAAATGCGGACAAAATGCGTCCTCATAAACAAGGATCGTCTGCATTTTTCGCGGACGTTTGCATGCATATTTATGGCATGCATTATAATCCAAGATGGCGCCCCGCATGTTTTGCCTTTTCTCTTAGACCAATATTATTAATTTCAAAGTCATGAAAAGGCACTAAATATCAACATGGTCTACAACAACTCCAAATGACAAAATAATCCCAGCTATGAATTTTTTAAAAGCATTTGATAGCCCAAAACTTGAAATTTTTCGGCATTAAAAAAAGAAAAAAAGAAAAAAGAAGAAATTCTGCCAATTTTTTTCCGATCATTTTTATTGATCGGTGATCAGAAATATTTATCCGATCACCCCTGATCGGCTCAAGATCGGCCCCCAAACCGATGATTGGTTACAGGCCTAAAAAAAACCCTAGTTGACCGTCTACTTTTATGGGTTGTCCGTCTTCCCAAGGATTTATTGCTCATAATGTGAAGGTCTCTGTACAAAGTCAATGTAAAATGCATCAAGAAAATCATCCCGGAATCCGTTTTTTGCATCGCCAATGTGCTGATCAAAAATATGGAACATCTGCTTTTTTGCAGACGATCCTTGTTTATGAGGACGCATTGGTCCGCGTTGACAAAGACGATCTTCGTTTATGAAGACGATCCTTATTTTCGGACCAGCGCCCCTACTAGCGATAGAGTACAGACGCTCCTTATTTTTGCGGACGTGTCTGTCCATGTTTACGAAGATGATCCTCGTTTATGCGGACAATCCTTATTCTCGGACCAGCGCCCCTACTGATGCTGCACATAAAACTTTACGCATTGAGCGCTGTAAAGTGAGTTAGACGCGTTCCCGTTGGCTGATCCGCTCGAACGACTTCAAATTTAAGTGAGAGAGAGGGCCTGGCAATGCCAATACATACGTAATGTTACATAACGCACCAACATGTCATGCTTTAAACAGGTAATGCACTGCACCCATAACTGACACACACTAACTAAGTATAGGTAGGGATGTCAGACGCTCGCGCTGCAATCCTGAAATCGAGCCATCAATGTGCGTACGAGCCAACGGTGATTGTAGTCGAAATAAAAACATGCAATCTTTAAAAATTCATTAAAAATCAAAATTAGCAGGAAAGAATTAATTGATTAAGAATTACCGTAGATGAAAGTTGTATTCCAATATTGGAAGCATTTTTTTCACAAGTAGAATCGTAGAATCAATCAAAATATGGCAGTAAAGATGAGCTCTAATTCGCCCATTGGCCCTTTGCAAGCGTTTGAAAGGCATTGCAGCAGCCATGGCACTGCTTTTCTGTGACTCTCTGAAAAACTGCGCATGTTTACATCGAAATCTGGAGGTGATCCCGGGGTCACACAATGCCCAAATTTGGACATGCCATTCATGAAACTTAGAAAAGTTGACCATGCGTGTTGACTTTTTTGCCTACCCCATACTTTTAATATATTTGAGCAGTAAAAAAAAAGTTCCAATTTATAGCGATCTTTTTCTTATAAAAAATGAACTTTTTGCAAAAGTCAATGTTAGTAGATTTATAAGTGATATCCAAGCTATCTTTGAGCCAAAAATCTAAGGGAAATTCATTCAGGATCATCTACAGATAATCACAAACTTCAGATGTATACTACCCAAGACTGAACAACCGTAAGTCTTGACACTCGCCCTCAACCCCTGGTGATTCTGTGCTGAACACGTATGGACCGAACGAAATATTTGCAGCTAGAAACTACTTTCCATGGATAAATTGAGAATTTTGATCGACTAGACGACTACAAACGTTGAATATAAGTTTTTCATAATTAAAGACTCCATTATTAAAGCAATAACTTAGTATTTATTATAGAAAAAGAAGTTGAAATGTTGAATGCGTGTACGAGTGAAATGCCGGGAGGAAGTATAAATGAAAGAAAAGCGTGATGTTATCATCAAGCCGCAATGGCCCCGTGCACGCACGTGGAAATTTCCATTGTAAGCGCCAGCATGTGGCTCTTCTTCTAAGTGTACAAACTCCCTCTTTAAAAAAGATAAAATGTAAGAAATTATTAAAACAATGTTTCAAGGGAAACTTAACACTGTTTCGAGGGAAATTACGTAGAAATGAGCAATTCTAGTGACTCAGCTGTAATTGTTATATACAGGTGTTATTCTCCTGATACATTTGTAACATTACAAGAGGTTTTCTGGACATTTACCATATTTGTTTTTCTTTATCAAAAAGCAATTTTACATGTACTTGGAATTGATATATTTTTCCACCATGACTGCCAGAATTTTAATCCAAGTTTACATTGAAATATCATCTTATATTTGTATCGCTGATTATTTGAAAATCTTTACTTGAAAATCAGCGATCCTCCAGATCCTCAAATCGATCCTCAAATTTTATCAGGAAACATTTTTCCTGTGATATTTTTTTTTTTTTTAAATCTTCATTTTTCTTTGTTTTTCTTTGTTTGTTGCCATGGCAACCTTATATTTTAATTTTAAAAATGTTGTGGAAAGATGTCCCTGCCATTATCTTGGAATGCAAAGTGTTTTGAGTAGCAATTTGATCTGGAAAGTAAATACCGGTATATTACTTTTTAAGTATTTTCTTATTTTCTTTGTTTTGTTTCCATGGCAACAATATATTTAATTTCAAGGTTTCTCTTAAAAATGTTGATAAAAAGAATATAATGAAGAAAAGTTCTGTTGAAATTTCAATGAGAAACAAGATATATTTTTTGAGATATGGCACATCAAACAATGCTTGCAATGTTGAGGTATGTACTCTTTACTATGTACTTAAATTACACTCGGTGCCATGCTTACATTGTAATTTCCTATGCAAAAACTTCAGGAAATACCCCTAAATAAAAATATTAAAAAATTAATATCTCGAGAATCGATTTATATTTTGACTCCATTTTTTTTCCATATTGAATGATAAATTGTGTTCTCCAAATACAGTGCAAACTTGTCATGATTTAATGGACTTCAATTTTTAGTCTAACATCCCTAGTATAGGTACACCATAAAATAGAAAAATCAACAAACATTTTGGTAAAACTTGCAACTTTGTACATTAAATATGACAACAATTATAATTTTTTAAAACTTAAGTAGGCCTGTAATAACTTAAGTATAATAACTTACCTTTTAAGGATGCTGAAAAAAGTGTACATAATAGAAGATTTGACTGGAATATCAAGATTTTGGTGTCGGATCAAACAGAAAATCGCAAGATTTCTCCCCTCACAAGTATCTTATAATGTTGGAACAGTCTAACACGACCGAGGCGATAGCCGAGGGTGTTTGGACTGTTTTGAAGGTACCGAGTGTGGGAAATTTTACTATTGCCCAAACAAAATGCTGTGTATTATCTGTTTTATAAGATTATGTTTTATTTGTTTTATAAAATAATGTATTATTACATGATTTTGATAATGACCAGTCATTACCATTGGATAATGATCGGTCATTATCCAAATTACGCGTTAGGCAAAATAAATGCCTGGTCACGTGTACACTTTCAACTAATCATTCGATTAGGATCCACTTCATCATCTTAAACTAGTAATATTCAGGACCCCCACACCAAATGACCAAATATATACGTGTTTAGCATGGAATTGTCCTTTTACCTACCATATTTATATTTTGAAAATAACAATAATATATGAACATGTCCGCTCTTACTCCATCATGTTCTTTGTTCTAAACAGCTCTTCAACTAAATCACAATGGAGGGTTATCACCGCACGCAAGGAGGGACAAGAAACAAGTACAAATGCCGCTAACATGTGGACCTATCAACAGAAGTACAATAGACGGGTAAGTAGAGTTGGGTTCACACGGCAGTCTGCGTGTATTAACTTTAAGTTTAGGTCATGGCTTTGAACGTCAACACTATCTTGTAAGTACATGTATGCAAACTGGAAAGTGTGGACGCACCCATGGTTACAAAACTTTCAGTTAACTCGGAAGTTAAAAACCACGAGCGATTTGAAGGTAAGCAAGATAACTATAATCAGGATCCTCACTTGAGGTTCTGTGCTGTGCGGATGCAATTAATTTTGAGGTTACGCCAGCTTGTACATGTGCTGTAGTTAGAATTGATGTTTTCATAGCGTATACATTTGTAGTTTAAAATTGTAAATACTTGTTGTATTGTGAAATCATTGTCGTTGTTAGTGGATTGTTGATAATAACTTCGAGGTTTAGTAAGATTTAAGTTTGAAACGATGGTCTTTAGCAAACAAAGCTACAGATCTACATGTGGTACCAGGTACATGTAAGTTTTTAAAATTGAAGAGTGTGGTGCACCACTCTACTGTGCCCTTTTTAATCTCAAGTTTTGGGTAAATTTAAAGAAACATCCCCCTTGGTGTTAAGTTGTGAACTACATGTAAAATATGATAAACATCTGGGCCTTGTTTCATAAAACTTGTTATCGATAACAAATGTTACATTTCTATGACAATCTGCTCTCAGTCATTAAAATGCCACTATGTCAGTAGCTTGTACAGTGTAGCAGTTCTTGTAACTTGTTATTGATAACAAGTTTTTATAAAAGAAGACCCTTAGATATTGTGGTTTGGGAGAGGGCTTAAGGCATGCAATTTCAAAAAGCTGCATGGAAATAAGGACGTACAGTGCATGTATTAATTATTGAGGTGATTCACATGAACATGTAGTTATTTTCAGACCATTACATCTACAATCTTCATATATATATATATATATATATATGCTAGTTTATGTCAAATAATGTTATTTCCTTACAATAAAAGATCGTAATTATTTAACTATTGTAATTGTGTTCATAAGTTTATATCATTTATATTATATCTTATTTTGTCATCATTGTATATGTTTCTGTTAATTCATTTATAATTCAATCTTTAGATTAATCATGTAATTTATTGTATAATTGATTGTTGTAAAGCGCATAGAGAATTTATTATTATGCGCTATATAAAAATTACTTTATTATTATTATTATTATTATTACATGTACAGTGTACATGTACAGTACTTCTGTTTTGAAGTTCTGTCATAACTTACAAATTATCAACATGTACAGTACGTAATAATTTTGTTAATTTTGTACATGTAGAATGAAAAAATGAAATGAATTGTCAACATCCTTAGAAACAAATTTTGATAGTTACACAATGTTCCTTACACTCAGAAGTGTCATGTGAGCAATTAATCCTAAATTATATTGATGTACAACTTGTTTCTGTAGAATTGGATTGTGTGAATAACACTGATTGTGTTCAAAAGGTTAAGTCTCCAGGAATTTCTTGTTTGACGTCCCGTTGAATGGAATGTAAACAGACTTTCAAAATAACAGAAATGTACAGCTTTACTTTTGAATGGCTTTCAAGTCCACATTCACTTGAACTCATTTGTAAGAAATACATACATGTTGTAATTCATGCCAGCTTGTTAGCATTGTTAGCTGGGAACAAATATATCAATAAATATTGTAAGATTCATCAACAAATATTTTTTATTGAAAATTTCGCCTACTGTAAGTTCATAAGTTCATTCTATTTTCCACAACTATAAAAGTGCAAAAAATTGTACAAATTAATAAAGAGCTTAGATTTTAAGAATGAACAGCTACATGTATTACAAATCAAAATACAATCAACTTCAAAAGAAAAGTCATCACACGAATGAAAATTGAAAAGTGCTTGACCCACTTTGTTTAAAGTTCATTACCGTAATCGTTCTTTGTCACATTTGTACTACAGGCCTGAAATTGACAGGAAGTTGCAGGAAATAATGAAACAGACTGGACTTTTGACAACAGAGGGCAAGGTAAGGACAATATTATTTTCTAATTTTATAAAAAGGAGTGTTACCAGGTACTTGTCCCAAGGGATATTATTGTACAGCAACTATTTTAGTTTACATGTACTACATGTAAAGTACTTGATGCAAGCCTGAATTGTTTCAGTTTGTAAACCATGCCCAGACCGTACCTACATGTATCCGGGTACAGCTTTCATTTCCCTTTAAGTGTACCATGTACCGAAACATATTTGTCTCTTTATGGGGTTCCACGTTGCTATGAATAGTAATTTTTTAGAAATATGAGGTCCAAGTATTACTTCTAGTACAAAATATTGCAAGTTTACTTTACATTCTTTATCAACATAAGATGAGTTACAGTTTAGCTATTGACATTGTACATTAAAATCTATATGGTATGTATTTCATATTTTCATTAGGATTTATAGAAAGAATTCAAGGTGAAATTTGTTAAATCATATGAAATAAATGGGACAAAAAATATTGTTGTAAACATAAACATTTAGATTTTTGCCTGCCCTGCCAGTCCTAGAAAAAAATCCCCTACTTTTAGTGGAAGTGCAGGTCATGGAGCTACACGCGAGAGCCTGCAAGTCCCTCTTCAGGAAATTGAGCATTAATTTCAATTACCTGAATTGCCAACACAGAGAAGCACAACACTTCCTGTCCCCAAGGGGGCCTGGTTTGGTTGCCATGCCGATGTCAGCGATCGGACATGTCAAAACTCTCTCTCCTCCGGTAGGGTGCTAACTTTAGCCAGCCAGCGTCTGCCTGAGCCCTGCCTGAGAGTGGCTCTTGCCGGAGACCGGCCTATAATTCGGGCTCGGCGGCACTCGAGACTCGAGTCGAAGTCTGGTGGGTCTTGGGAATCCTGCTTTACATTTATCTTCACACTTTCGTGCTTGAATTGGGAAGGATATGTTCAATAAACTTAGGGAGCGAGGGAGACAAAATGTACTGCATGTCACACCAGAGCTCCTCTCGGTCTACTGTATGTGCATTACACGCGTTTGCTAGGGTCTACAGGACTTTACATGTTATGTACATGTAATTTTCACTGTACATGTTTAATATTTTGTTGCAAATGTGATCTGAACAAAGGCGTGACACTTACAGGCACCCTAGACGCATGGGCACCCCAAATCTAGGTGTGGACCCCCAACATTTCAAAAGTTTCAACATAGTGCTCAATGCGTAGACAGAAAATTTTAAATCAGGGGAGTGTTTCACAAAGAACAAGATTGACTTTATGTTGGACCCAAATATGGCAGGCCGTTCATGTCCCTGTTTGCTCTCGCCATTTACTGTCATTTGTCTCTCAAGAGATGTACAAATCATGGTCACAAATCTACAGAATATCCATTTTATGATAGTTCATTATAGAAGAAAAAAATATTATCTAAATTTTGTAATGGTGAGAGCAACCAGTGACATGAAAGGCCTACCATAGTTAAGTCCAACTTAAAGTTGATTTTAGTCTTTGTGAAACACTCCCCCGGACCCCAAACTAAAAAGAGTTGGTGTGGAACCCTGAAAGGGGCTGTGCACAACATGTAAAGTTGTGGTTACTTCAAATTTTTGGCAATGGAAAGGTACACACAAAAAATGTGATAGTATCAGATCAGATCTGATCAAGGACACGCTATATAGGAAACTTCTCAGGTGTTGAAGTTTTGAAGGTACGTGAAGAAACTCTTGCGTCACGGCTTCCTGGATCGATTCCTGAAGCGATTCCTGAAGCGATTCCTTCAAAGAGCTAGGGAATTCACCCTAATCCATTATTGTTATGTGGAGGGGAAAGCTCTAATCCGCTACATGTGTAGATTCTTTCGAGCGTACCGGTCTCGTGCCCCCCAAACACAACCAGGCCGTGTCATTGCACTTGCTTGCGATGCCAAGTTGAGCTTTCAGAATCTTTAACCTAGCTTTGAGACCATGTATAATGTTGATTACAAAATTCACTGGAAAAAAATTAAAGGGGAGGGGCACACCATTTAAGTTTGATAGAACTTTATAAGTACCGGTACTTTAAAGATTGCTTATATTTTATCTATGGCTTCGGATATCAGGTGCAGTATGATAACAATACTGACTGCTTTGAGGTGCAGTGGTGAATATTATTTGAATAATATGATCTCAAAAAGAAGTTTCCAGCTTCTATGCTAGAACCCAAATCAGGCTGAGGACCCTTTTGCAGAATTTTCATGCTATCCTTATATTTTGTCTAGTTGATGTTACACGTGCACATGCAAATTACACAAATTATATTCTAAGCTGACTGGTACCCTGCTACATTTGTAACTGACGTTTGAGATGTCTTTTGCAGTAATTATTAAAGCAAAGGAATTATATTGAATTTGTTTACTTGCATTTACACTTGTGATCTTTTCACTTTTCTTGCAGCGTTATCACATCAATGTGGAGAGTCTTGAGTCGATAGGGGAACTTGGTTTTGGAAGCTGTGGCCATGTGATTCGTATGAGGCACAAGGAGAGCGGTACAATACTAGCGGTCAAGGTAAGTTGTGACCTTAACAGAATTAACCCCTATGTAGCCGGTCAGAGTTTGCTGAAGATTGAAATGAATCCTCAAATTGGCACTAATTGTTTTTTAATTTCCACTATTTCATAGTTAAAGGTAAAGATCAGTTTTGGAAACACCCCCTCTCAAAAAATGAAATGAAAGCTCTTATTACCAATCATGTGAAAGAATATGATTTGCCGAGAAACCGCCTACTAATTGATATATTTGGTAAATTATTATATCTATTTGGACCTGATAGATATCGCGCACGTGTCACGCACATGTCGCGTACATGTAGTCCTATATATATCTTTCTGTGCTCAGTGCTTGTAACTTTACCAAGACTGGGCCAAATTTCTTATCATTTTGATGATTCCAGAACCTTGCAGTACACACCAATACTTATATGCTAGATTATCAACCTTTTCTGATCGATTCCACACCGTTTCTTTCACAATGCAATAGCATGACCATAACTGGTCTCTATCTTTAAGAAATATGAAAATGTACATGTAAGTTAATTGAACCAATGTGCATGAAAATGAAAAATAATCAACAAGAAATTGCCACTTTGTACACAAACATAGTGCTTATTAATTTCACACCCCATTGCCAATTTAGAGATTTCAGTGATTGCTTTTGATTAAATCGTTCTCATTCATGAGCGCTATAATGAACCGCAACAGAAATTGACCCAACTTAACTTCAGATATTCAACTGGTTGAATATTAGATCTTGAAGCAATACTTCTGAAAAATGCTTTCTGAGATACATGGATGTTCGATTGGAGGGGAAAATAGGCATGGCATTTTTCTTTTAAACCTCAAAATCTTTTTGAAAAACCAAGCAATTTTTATTACATGTTAAAGGTGTTAGTGTTACAAGCAAAAAGTGCTACGCTTGGTCAAATTTTAAAGGAAATAAAAAAACAAATTGTATGTTTATTTATTCATTTTTCTTGCAGCAAATGCGGAGATCCGGAAATAAAGAGGAGAACAAGAGAATTCTAATGGACTTGGATGTTGTACTCAAAAGTCATAATTGCCCTTTCATCGTGCAATGCTTAGGGGCCATAGTAACGCCTGTAAGTATACACCAAGGTCATAGGTCATTTGTCTTTCGTTAATCCAATGTGTCCGCCATGGCTTGGGTGTCTGGGATGCTGAAATTATTATTGTTTTCATAATTATTTTTTTATTCACCAAAGTCAAAGACATGAAATAAGTGAATACAAAGCATCAGTAAGGTTTACATTTTTAAGTCACATAAATGTCAGGAAAAGATAATGATTAACTAGATTATTAAACAGGAAGGTCTTCTTTTCCAATCCATTTGACTTAAAATAAATACCACAGAATAGCAAGATACAACAAATAATGAATGGCAGGTATAAGCAGGCATGATATCACATGGATGCCAGGAAAAGAACAAGATTAACTAAATAACTATAGCCGGGGAATCTCGTTTTCCAATCCATTTGACTTTATATAAATAAATAGCACAGAATAGCAAGATGCAACAGATAATGAATTTGCAAGTGTAAGCAAGCATGACAGGATCAGAAAAGTATTAAAAGCTAACATAAAATATAAATAAAAAGAGTATTAGTATTGGTTTGGGAGGTCAGATGGTAAAGGTCACAGGATCATTAATTAATGAACGTACATACTAGGCGTAGGAATATATTAGAGACACAGTCGCATTCTTCTTGATGAACGGTGGTTTACTGGGTCATGTTGGGACAGGTCTTTTTGGCAATGTCCCATATACTGTAGACCCTATGAACAGACACATCAATCGCCATTGCTCTATGTACATTACCATGATCTATTAACCCATTGAGGACATTATTCATTTTAGGACTAAATTGATCACATGTAATGTTCTTCAAATTGGGAACAATAATATTGTAATTTTATTGCTACATTGTTGAAATAAATTGCAATGTCTCTGAAAACAATAAAAAATAAGGTAGGAGATTGTCAATAAATTGACAATTTTGATTAAAAAAACACAATGATTTTGAATCTCACAGCGGGTTGCCAATTTCAGAATTTTTGGAGCTTATTTTTGTTTTTAAAATTCCTAGCATCAAACGCAATAAATATAGTCATGAAACAAAAATAGATGTAGTGTCTGCTACTTTTGTTTGCCCTTTGTGAATGTGTACATATATATCTTGCCTATTTTTTAGGGCTCTTAATAACAACAATTATTGAGCCAAACCACAAATTGCAAAGGAGACAATCGGTTATTAAATACACCTGTAGCTTCCCCTATGAAAGGAAGCTGCCCATTCCCTTTGTTCAGTCTAGTGTCCAGGGGGGTTTTCACAAAGACTAAGATTAATTTTAAGTTGGACTTAACTATGGCAGGCCGTTCATGCCACTAGTTCCTCTAAACATTCCTGACATTGGTTTCTCAAGGGACATATAGATAGGGACACTGAATTCCGCGATCACGGAAAACGGACGGAATTCACGGAATTGACCATTTGAAACGGAAAATGCAATTTCGAAAGGAAAATCGCGGAAAACCCCTTTTACCCCAAAACTTTTCATTTTTCAAGAAGAAAATCGTAAAACTTACACTATTTTTGTGACTCGTTATGCAGTTAAAAAATATTGGGCCTCAAATCATGGTTAATAATTCCGAATATTTAGCGATATTCGTCAGATTCTTAGGAGACCGGGCGCTGCCATTTTGTTTCGCTGGACCAATAGAGATCATGGCGTAAAACACGGTACAAATAGCAGCGAAACAATCCGATTATGCCAGCTAGGCGCCTAGTATTACGTAGAAGTAATACTAGGCACACACACGCCAGTAGCGGCGCTACGTGCGGCGAGATTGTACACACGCTGTTGTACAGTTCGAAAAAGGGGCTGGCATGTGCGCCTAAAATCGATCGATCGCGGACATGACAGCCAAGACTGAAAATGTTTTCGTTGACGTCGGTACTACTCTGCATTTCCGTCAAGAATATGTCGTGTTCTGATACATTCAGCTGACTTTAGTCTGCTAGTCTAAGTTCAAATTTGAAGTTGGTAAATCTAAACATTTGATAATTTTTCGTAGGTCTAGCCTAGACTCTAGGGCCCGTAGGGGTCTATATTTT